ACTAATCATTGGGGCATTGTTTTTTTGCAGAAAGCACAATGTTACTTATATTTTGATCTCGAATTTCCACGAAATTTGAACAAAGAGAAGGATGGGAATGCTATGGTTGAGACGTGATTAATGGTAACATCCAGCCTTATAGCATCAGAGTTCCCTCATTTGCGTGATCAAAGTCCACAGATATTAGAGACGGATTCATCAAGGGACGATAAATTTTCCAGACATCTATTGATTCGTTTCAAGGGGCTGATGTTTCCAAATAATCAAGAGATGTTAGCTTTTGTTACTAAGGTAAGAATGCTGCAAACATTTAAATTTGAAAATAAAAGAAACCGGTTGTTAAAGATATTGATCATTAACCCTTCAAATAGGGACTCTCTTTTTATTGCAAAATTTCTTTACATTTGGGTTCGGGAAGTCATACGTCTGAATTATGGTGGCCTCTTTAGGATCCAAAATTCCATCAGAATGACAATCAGTTGTTCAAATTAATGTGTCAATCGGGGACATTCACAACTTTCGCAAGTTGGACTCATTACATGTTTTTCTTATACTATGATATTTCTTGTGTATGTCTATGCAGATTTGTAAACACATTGAGGTCAACAAGGGAAATTTTTCAGCGTACGAGAACCTCTTTGTTGAAACAAAGAAAGGTAGACGGTTGTTTGTTGACCTCTCTGTGTACAAGAAGAAGCAACTCATGAGATTGCCATTTTCTACTAAACAAGGTCTTTCATCATATTTGGAACCGACAAGTCGTTTCGGTACTCCGAAATTCACGGTACGTTTATTGATTTATATCATGTGTGTTTTTTTATTTACTTTTGTATTTTTCCTTTACTTTTTTATAATTTTTATGAAGTACATAACTGATAAGTGATTGCCCCTGTCTTTTGTAGATCGAAGATTTGGACGCCATGAGAGACATGTTCATCACAGCGTGTGATATGTCTGGGATGAGTGAATTGTCCAAAGGTGTAAGTGTCCAGTCAACGCACCCATGTGTGTACGAGATGAAGTTTCTCACTGGTCTTTCTTGTATATATTTCATTCTGTTGTTGTATAAACCATACTTACGACCACACAACGCGTCGCACGGTCCGGTGCGCTGTACAGGGTCTGGTCCTAGACCTCCACGTCTGCCGTACAAGCCCGTACCCGAACCGTACAGGACCCAACGGGGCTGTGCACTATTCTGTGCGGCCATCTCCTGTCCGAAAGCCTTTTTATTTTTTCCCCAATTGCCCTGTAGATCCACCGTTTCGTAGTGGGGTCTTTCCCTGCGACCCTGTCTTCATGGCAATCCTCGTCATTGTGACTTGCATATAGGTAGAATGGTAGAACAGAAGCCAGGAAATCAGCCTTGTCTTGCATCCACTCTGAAAAACACCCCCTAACCTTTTCCCCAACCACCCCATAAAATCAATCCTGTACAATATTGTACTTTTTGTCTTTCCAAACACGAACGAAATAAATAAATAGCACTTAGCTGCTTTTCCAGAACTAAAAAGGAAAACAATGCAACTGTTTTTCCAGAATCAAAAAGACAAACAATCCAACTGCTTTTCCCTAAGTGAAAAAGGGCAAAAAAAAAAACGTCTAATTGCCTTTTCGAAAAAGAAAAAACAAGTTATATTGGCCACATTTTGAAATTATGGAGAAGAAAAGAAGGAGAGGAGGAGGAGGAGGAGCAGGAGGAGGAGGAGGAGGAGGAGGAGACTCTGAGATGGAGGAGGGTGTGGAGGTGACAAGGAGGAGGTGTTCCTTGTTCCCAAAAGAACAAAAGTGAACAAGGAGCTGGAGGCGAGACATGAAGTTAGAGCAGCAGGAGGGTATGACGAGGAGTTTCCATTAAAAAAAGACAAAGGTCACAAGGCTGGGGACGAGGAGGCGGTTACGAGAGATGGAGGAGCAAATGATGAGTGGGAGGGGGGGGAGGTTACAAGAAGGAGAGGAGGAGGAGGAGGAGGACGAGGTGGCTAGGAGGTTATGAGGATAGGACGAGGAGGAGGAGGTTGCAAGTAGGACAGATGGAGGAGGAAGTGACAACGAGGAGGTGGTTAAGAAGATGGAGGAGGTGACGACGAGGAGGAGGACGAGGTTACAAGGAGCAAAGGAGGAGGAGGAAGTGACGGGGAGGAGGAGGAGGTTATGAAGATGGAGGACGGGGTGACGAGGAGGAGGAGGAAAAGAGGTTACGCAGAGAAAAGATGGAGGAGGAGATATCGATAGCGTTCCAACTTAAAAGTTTCCATTAAAAAAAAAAGCAGTGATAAAGTTGTGCAGAGGACGAGTAGAGATAGAGGCGGAGGAGAAGGTTTTGCAGATGAGAGATGGAGGAGGAGGTTACGAGGCCTTGACGAGGACAAGGACGAGGACGAGGTCACACGACCTTGACAAGGACGAGGACAAGGACAGACGGAGGAGGTGGTGTCGAGGAGGAGGAGGATGTGACGAGGCGAAGCAGGTGGCGAGGCTGAGGAGGACGTTATTAGGAGGAGGAGATGCCGACGGCTTTCCAACTTCAAGTTTACATTAAAAAAAAAGAGAAAAAAGGCCTCGCAACCATGACGAGAACGAGTAGAGATGGAGGAGGAGGAGGTTACAAGGAGGAGAGACGAGGAGGAGGTGATGGGGAGGAGGAGGAGGTTATAAGGAGGTGAGATAGAGGAGGAGTTTACGAGGAGGGGAAGGAGGAGCTTGCAAGGAGGAGAGATGGACGAGGAGGTGTCGAGGAGGAGGAGGAGATGCTCTATACGAGGGGAATGTTACATCTTCGACTCACACGGGCCCTACCGGACCCGACTTAAGGCCGGAGGGACACACCAGGGCCTAAGGGCCCGACCTTTGGAGTTTACAGGCCCTAAAGGCCTGATTTTGGACCATCACCCATCGGGTAGGCCCAAACGACACTTCGTTTGGGCCTGGCGGCGCTCTTGAAGCTGCCGCCCGCCGATTGAGGTTGAACCGTCCATCTGGACGGTCCAGGGTCTGGCCTGGCGTCGCAGCATTGAGGCCAAACCATTGCCCACTGGTATAAGTACCGGTATCCGCCTCAGTTGGGGGATCGGCCTACCGAAACTCTACCGGCACGACATGGTCAGTGCTAGTGCACTGTTTTGATGCGCTAAACTTAGCGCAGGGGCTGAAGCAGGAGTGCAGCATAGCGCAGCAGCGAGCGGAGCAGCAGCAGGGCGATTGAGCCAGCACGGCGGCCATTGCCGCCTGAGGTATCGAGAGCTTGGAGGGTCTCTCCTCCTCTCCCTCGCCAGTCCCCTCTCTCTCTCTCTCCTCTTCTTCTCCTTCTTCTTCTTCTTCTTCTTCTTCAGATTGGAGACTATCCAGTTGGACAGAGATCAGAGTTGGATTTCGGTGATACGAGACTGTGGTACTTACCTGATTGGAGACTTGGGGATTGTTGAGGTTTATACTCGGCTGCATCACAATTGGACACCGGTTACACTTGGACTCTGTTATCTCCGACATTGGTGAACTTTGGTCCTCGACATTTTGATCTTGTTATATGACATTCTGGACTACCATTTCGGAGACCTATCAGACTCTATCTTTGTGACCTATCGGTGTGATCTACCTCCTACCTCCTTCGTCTCTCCTCCCACCTTTCATCTGTGCATGTGTGTACGGGATCTGGGTATCGTCTATGAATGACCCAGACCCCACCATCTCTTGATTGTATGTGTGTGGAGTGATGCCATGTAGGTCAGTCTATGTGAGTCAGTCTATGTGAGTCAGTCTATGTGAGTCAGTTCGTTATCAGACTTCCGCTGCATAAATGTTCATCCTATATTGGTTGATCTTTGGTTCTGCCCATACTCATTGAAGTATGCAACAGTTTTGGTATCGGAGCAGACCAAAACGGATCTGCTCACCAGGTAAGTCCGTTTAGAATTAGGTTATCACGTTTGATCTTCTAAATTGGCGCTGAATTACTATCGAGTTCAAAGTTGCAATTTTTTTTTTTCTCTTTCAGTATTCTATTTAGTTCGGCATTTCTGTTCAAATCGGCATTCGGACTTATAATTCGGATTTCTGTTTTCTTCCGGTATGCTACTATTTGAGTTCTGATTGAGTACTAATCCGATACTTGATTAAGTTTCGAATTTCTGATGTTACACGAATTAGGAATGAATCAGTATAATGCTTGAAATTCGGCGTTTCTGATTTCCATTCAGCATTCCGTTTTTCGGCATTCTGTTGTAAATCCTATATTTCGTTGTCTTTCAGTATTGGAATCAGGGTTACGAAAGTCTTTTGGTTTTAGATCAACTTGGGGAAATTCGAACGTTTTGGGACCGTAAATCTGAAATTTCGCCGAGACGCAGGAAATTAGGGTTGGAACCGAAAATTTCGCGAATTTTTTTTTCGTTCTCCTTGTTTGAGAAATTCCGAAAATAGGTTTAGGCTTTTAAAAATTGAATTTTGACGGTGGAAATTCCCAAAAATTCACGTTGTTAAAAATTCGGGCAATTTTCTTCCGAAATTTTTCGAAAATTTTTTTAACACACTAAGCCGTACCTAACCCTTAAACTGCAACTTCCGGGTAGTTCACTCAGTAACGGTGAACTCCCGGACTCAAAAGTGATCTCAAAGAGACCTAATCATAATACCTTTCAAATTCGTTTATTAATTGGTTATCTTTATTACAGACATTGTTTTACTGATTATCATTCGAAATTATTTCATTAATTATCATTAATTAATTTTATTGATTAAACCGTTATTAATTTTCTTATTACGAATTTTTTTTGAAGGGTTTACGGAAATTTTAATTTCTTCCGTTTCACTAGGTGTCTACAGTCCATCAGTGGGACAGGGGTATATGTATATTGCTTGATTGTTCTACCCCTGTTCCCACTCTCCCTGCCCCTCGTGTTCTGTGATTACCGGGACTTCTCAAGTACCACATCGGTTCAGACTGATGTYGACGGAACAGGACACCGGGGCACTGCCACGACGCAGTGCCAGAATCGCAGTTCGTGCCCGCCCTGCAGTACCTCCAAGACCGAAGAAACTCAGCAGGCGGACGACTCCAGCAGCATCAAGTACGGCAATGACGGTACAAGACGCCACCGGAGATCATCCCGCATACCCGGTCCGAGGAGCCAATGAGCCAGCGGCTGATTATCGTGGGCGGCTACTGACATTTACGGAAGCCGTAGCTGCTGTCGAGGCCCGGAAGGAGACAGCAGAGGCAGAATGTCAGCGGCTAGCCAATGAAGCGGCAGCCGAAGCTCAGCGAACGACTGAGACTGACGCAGAGACACAAGACAGACGGAATGCCAACAGCACGCAGTCCTTGATTGCTTGTGAGCAGCAGTGGACGACGATACTCCAAGGCATGATCTTTGTGCCTACGGAAGCACAGGCAGACCCGACACCGGCGGAGGCAGAGAGAAGTAACCTGGCTAACTTGCTGCTGGGCATGATGAGAGGTATTATGTGGAATAATACACTGCTGCATTCACATCTGCGCACGGACGCGACGCAGCGACAAACTTACAAGAACGATATCACTGCGTTAACAACTGCTATCTGCACAAAGGCAACGCAGCAGCAACAACAACATCATCTGTTGAATTCCACTATCACACGTCAATAGCATAGAGGCTAACGCCTCAGTAGCGCCAGGCTGCACCACAGACGTGACGAAGCAACTCAACGAGCGCATCGATCACGTCGTCACCATCATCGGCGACATAAGTACGTTCACTGGACCAGACTCGATCAGCAGCACGGTGGCCGCCATCAAGACGGACATCACCAAGCTACAGACGAGACCGGAAGTTGCTACAAGACGTTCAAGATGCCGCACTTCGACATCGGCAAGTTCGACGATTACAACAAGTCGAACGCCTTGTCATGGTGGCAACGCTTCCTCACGGAAGCATCATGCCGCGTGGTCCCGGCGGACGACATGTTGAAGGCACTATATCTGCAGCTGATTGGAGGAGCGCAGGGATGTATGAACCACCTAGCGGCTACACACAAGTGCACTATCGCCGAACCCCACACGCACATTACGTGGAAGGAGTTCGAGCAACTATGGTTCACCCGGTTCATGGTCCGCAACGTCGTGAAGGCGGCCATGAATGAGGTGTACACATGCTCTCAAGGGAACATGCCAACTCGAGACTGGACAACGAAGTGGCAAAAGATAGTGACCACACCAGGCTTCGACTTGACGTTTCCGAATCAACGATCCGAGTTCTTCTCGCGATCGTGCGCGGGATTGCGGTCGGCACTCGGTAATGAGTACGACCATACCACATTCCAGGCCATTCTGGATCGAGCGAACTTGGTCATCCAAACGGACGACAAGGCCGCTAACGAGAGACAATCCCAGCCGCATTATGTGGCTAAGCAGGCCTATCAACGTCCGACACATAACAATGCCGTGTTTTCTGAGGAAATCGACGACCACCACGCTGCAGCAGCATCCTCGAGTGATGGAGGAATTGTCGTAGCGCTCCCGCCGAAGCATCCGAAGAGAGTTCGCAAGAACAAGGCGACACAAGAGACAGCGGCAACGGGAGCTGGGCAGCAGCCATGGACGGCTTATAAGATCACCAAGGAGGTCTATGACCTACGTCAGAAGTACGCATACTGCCTATGGTGCAACAGTGTAGTACACACTACCGCACAATGCCCGGACAAGGGCAAGGCACGCGTACACCGTCCAACCAACTCGGGAAACTGAGTTACGCAAGGAGAGGGGCGACGTCTCTCCTCAATCCGTCGGACCCGGTTGCCTTGCTAGCAATCGATGTCACTACCGGGGAGCATGCGTTAGTCGCTGATCCTCGTGCTACGTACGAGGATTATGCCGCCCAGCTGGTACCACCATTAGACCAGCCTAGCCATGTGTATGTAGATTGCGTATGCCCAGCCTGTACATCGTCGGCAAGTGATCCGGTCAGTTCGCCACTGTTTTCCGAGGATTCGACGGCGTGGTCAAGACTTGAGGAGCTTGACCCGCTCACGAGAGAGGACTTCGCCTGGATGCCTCTACCCTCGACCGGAACCTTGCCAAGGCCGCATTGCAACGCCTTGATGGCAAATCTACGCTTCTACTTGCACACTACAGTACCAGCTSCGTTGACGGACGACGGGGTAGCGGTTGCCGATCTCCGCTCCTATCTTGCGAASATCGACCGCRAGCACGCCACCCAAAGGTACGCCGAAACCGACGCACCTTTGCTCTATATCCGCATTCAAATCGGAAAGGCAACTTCATGAGTCAAGCCTTTATGGCCCGCGCAGGTCTTGGCCCGCGCGTTCGAAGAAAGACGCAACCTACGCAAGTTACACTCGCGGACGGCCGCAYGCAAAMGTYAATTRACYGAKGCRTTGACGGCGTTCCGGTCTACTTTGCGCCACTTGCGTGCGAGCCGGTGTCTTTTGACATCCTCGACACCAAGTTCGATATGATTCTAGGCATATCTTGGTTGCGTAGCGCCGGTCATCCGGTGAACTTCCATGACCGAACCGTTCACACCCGTGATCGGAACGGAGTGTTAGTCCCATGTACGGTCGCGACCCCTCACACTTCGATTGCTTGTCACGTGGTTTCCGTTGCGCGGATTCGCGACGCCATTGCTCGGAATGACGTCGAGGAGATGGGCCTTGTATTCTTGCATGCTCT